AGTTGGGACGAGGCACATATAACCCGATCAGAGGCCTCTCTCTCCTCTCCCTCTTCCTCTTCTTCTGCAATGCAGAGGTTTGTTCACATTCTGGTAGAAGTTTTCGATCAAGATTTGTAGTCTCCCAGTTCCCCTCGCTTTAATGCAAAGCACATTTTTTCAGCCTCTTTTGAGGTATTTTGGGCAGAAACTCTCTCCCTCTTCCTAATCTTCCAACTTGTGGCAGTACCTTTTCCATTGATTCCCAACTTTCAAGGGTGAATGGGGGCTGATGTCCGCACACACATGTGTTTGGAAGAACACAGTTCTTGGATGTTGGTATTGTGTGCCTTCAAATCGTTTTTGACTCATGGCAACCCTAAGGCAAAACCTATCACAGGTTTTCATGGCAAGGTTTGCTCAGAGGAGGTTTGCCATTGCCATCCTTTGAGGTTCAGAGAGTGTGATTCGTCCAAGGTGAGTTTCATGGCCAAGCAGGGATTCGAACCCTGTTCCCTAGACTCATAGTCCAACACTCAACAGCTAGGCCACGCTGGCCCTCCTACAGTTCTTCCCAAGTCTTTCAAAAAGAACTAAATTTCTGGAATATAAAAAGCCAGTGCTCGACTCAAAGGCTGCATCAGCACTGTAGAAATAATGCAGTTTGAGCCCACTTTAACTGCCATGGCTCAATGCTATGTAATTCTGGAAACTGTAGTTTTGTAAAATATTCTCCAGTCAGTGAGCCCTGGTGACAACAAACTACAAATGCCAAAATTCCACAGCATTGAACCATGGTGTCAACCTGGATTATTTCTGCAGTGCGGACGCAACTGAGGCCAGGGTTCAAATCCCTGCTCAGCCACAAGAATTTTGCCCTCCCATGAAATATTCCTTCAGTCCCCAAAATCCTAGCATTGTCATTATTGTTGCTGTGAGTCTCCAGGTCATTTTCGACTTATGGTGACCCTAAGCCAACCTTATCACTGGGTTTTCTGGGGCTGAGAGTGTGTGATTTGTCCAAGGTCACCCACTAGGGTTTCTATGACCGAGCGGGGATTTGAACCTTGGTCTCCATGGTCATCATCCCAAATGTTCAAACCACTACACCATGTTGGCTCTCTAGCATCAGAGTATATTAAAATTTCAGTTGTTTAGTGTTTAGAAATAGAGTTTAGGCACCCAAAGAAAAGGGGTAGAAGAGCTCCGATTGTGGATGACTTTTAACGTCTCACTCTCTGGAATGCAAGAAATTTGTTGTTGTTGTTGTTGTTGTTGTTGTTTGTTGTTGTGTGCCTTCGAGTTGCTGCTGACTTATGGCAACCCTTTGTTGTTGTTGTCGTGTGCCTCCAAGTCGTTTCTGCCTTGTGGCGACCCTAAGGCAACCCTATGATGGGGTTTTCTTGGCAAGTTTCTTCAGAAAGAGTTTGCCACTGCCATCTTCTGAGGCTGAGAGAGTGTGACTTGCAAGGTCACCTGGTGGGTTTCATGGCCGAGTGGGGATTCGAACCCTGTTCTCAAGAGTCATAGTCCAACACTCAAACCATTACACTATACTGGCCCTTCTAGGGTGACCTTAAGGGAAACCCATTGCGGGGTTTTCTTGGCATGGTCTGTTCAGAGGGGGTTTCTCTTTGCCTCCTTCTAAGGCTGAGAGAGTGTGACTTGCCCAAGGTAACCCACTTATCCTGGTCTCCCAGATTCTCATTCCCAATATGCTATCCAGTGCACCACACTTGGCTCAGAAATTGGGGACTGGAAGGGAAATTTTTATGGACGTTATCACACATGGGCCAGAAAGTGATAATAAAGTG